GCCAAAGTCTGTCGGCGATCACAAGGCCGTCTGTCTGAAATTAAGTCTAAGTAGAAATAAGTGGGGAAAAGGTTTTTGGAAATTAAACACTCAAATTATAAAGGATATAAGCTATAAGGAACATGTCAAATACTTCATCAACCACTGGAAAGAAAACAAAATATTTGAATGTCAACTGGGGAGGTGGGAAAATTTCAAAAAAACTATAAAGGAGATTTCAATCAAACATAGTATAAGGATTCACAAAGCTAAAAAAGAAAAATTAAAGGAATTATACTTACAACTGGAACAACTGGAACAACTGGAACAAAATAACATCATAAATCAACCTGAAACAAAAAAAATACAACATGAAATACTTACTTTAGAACAAGAATTTAACCTAGGCACACTTATTCGATCCAAACATCCTTTTACTGGCAATGACACATTAAATAAAGACATATATAAACTCTTTGAAATCAAAAATGGAATAAAGAAACAAATAACAGAACTTGAAAAAGAAACAGGCAATATTATCACTGAAAAAAATCTAATATTAGAAACAGTCAAAAACTACTATACCTCTCTCTATACTTCTCAAAATATTTCTCAAAACTCTATTAATTCTTATCTAGATTCTACTCTACTTTCTACTTTAACTGAAGAACAGCAACTTTCTCTCTCTTCTCTTATTACTGAGGAGGAGGTCCTTGCTGCTCTGAAGTCGCTTGATAACAACAAATCTCCTGGCTTGGACGGTATCCCTAAAGAGTTCTATCTAGAATTCTGGCCTCAGATTGGTGAGGAATTAACAAACATCATCAACAATATATATTTCAGCCACACACTTACAGAATCCCAAAAAACAGCAATTATTACAATATCATATAAAAACAAAGGCAATACAAAACATCTTAAAAATTACAGACCAATATCCCTACTATGTACAGATTATAAAATTATTACCAAGGTCCTCGCCAATCGGCTATCCAGGGTTCTGGATGGGCTCGTACTTCCCGTTCAGACTGGGGCCGGCAGAGGCAAAACCATCTTAGACAACCTGCAGTCAATAAACTACATTTTGCAGTACATGTACCAAAAAAAGATAAAGGGGACACTTGTCGGATTTACCAGGAAAAAGCGTTTGATCGAATTGAGCATAACTATCTAATAACTTTGGCACAAAAACTACACTTTCCATTATACATTATCAATTGGCTTCAAATTTTATATACAGATATTTATAGCTCAGTCTTGGTTAACAGTGCTTTCACTTCAAAATTCCAAATTACTAGGTCAGTCCGACAGGGGTGCCCTTTATCTATGCTTTTATATTCTTTGGCAATTCATCCTTTGGCTTCAAAAATACTGCAAAATGACAACATAATTGGCATCAAAATTCCAAATCTTCAAAACCAAATCAAAATTTTCCAACATGCAGATGACATTTCGGCCATCTTAACCTCCCCTCACTCACTCTCTGCTATTATCCAGGAAATAAATGATTTTGGCTCTGCGTCAGGCTCCAAACTGAACGTGGACAAGACAGAAATCACCAACATCAATGGCTTCAGTTCAGTGACTGACCTCCTCCCCAGCAAATCTATCAAAATTTTAGGAATCCACTTTGGCACAAATCAAACACAACACAACTGGAAAATAATTACAACAAAACTTACAGGACTACAATACACATATATTAAACGGGCCAGGAATCTCTCCTTCAGGGAACGTCTGGTGGCGTTAAATACCTACATTGTAAGTATCACCTTATATGTGATGAAGATCATCCCCCCACCACCTGACATCATCAAAAAGATTAATGCACTAATCTTCAGCTTCTTCTGGGCCGGTGAGCCAGAAACAATTAAAAGGGAAACCCTCATGCTGCCACGAGATCAAGGTGGCATGGGGGTTTTCAATCTACAAAATAAAATAATCATAAATAACTTACTACTCATAAATAAATTTGCACTAAACTCACCAGATACACCACACGCATGGATGGCAATTCTGAAATACTGGCTTGGCATCTCACTCCGCACTCTACACCCCATCACCACCAGTCATGTAATCACACTAAATCCACCACCCTTTATCACTGCTGTCAAATCCACCTATCTAAAGCACTCAACTATTATAGACTTCACCCACAAAACTACCAGCAAAATTCTAAATCAAAAACTTCTATCTCTCTCTGATCACAA